TTCCTAATAATCCTTTAGGTGAGTGTATATATATATATATCATATGCTGAAGTACATTTCTGGAGTGTTAAAGATTAAAAGAAAAAATAACAAGAACCGTACAGAACCGAAAACCGTGACCCTAAAACCGTGATACAAACCGAACCGTGGGTTTTGTGAACCGTGCCACCCCTAATATGCCCATAAAGACGTTTCTATCGCAGGTCTATTTTTAGCCACAAATGTGAGTGAAACGCTTGCGCTTACCTTGTATTGGTTCCGCTCTATGGCCTGGATGCATAGACTGGGTGCTTCCGTTTGAGATGTTGAATCATTGACATTGCGCTATTGTGGTAAACTAATTCAGTTTTACAATGGACACACTGTACAGTATTTACGCTTTTCTTTTGTTTGAAATGGTCCCAAACTTTAGACATTTCATCTTTCGCTATTTTCCCTGTGTTCCTCCATTGTGGCATCAAATCAAACCTGCTACATGTAATGCAGCGTAAGCACACTGTGCAACAGTTATAATCCTCTGAGTGAAACACGGTGATCACTAAGCAATACATAGTCGTGCGGATTACACAAAGCATCGAAGCAAAGAACTTGCATCGAGGATTTTTTGTAATCGAGTTATTCGAGTTACTCAATGAATCGTTCCAGCCCTACTTCTAACATGTTTTGCTAGCAGCTTTCACTTTGCTAGCTTCTTCAAACTGAGCATGTTCACTGGGCTGATGTGTTTTTAAATGTCTAATTAAATTTATTGTGTTAAATGACTTTGTATTAGCTCCCTCACAGTGTACCTGGTCCTTACACTTGCTGCAGACAGCGAATTTTGCGTCCGCTTGGCTCACGCTGAAGAATTTCCAAATTAGACATTTTTGCGTGTGAAAGTGTGCGCGACTGCGCAGATGATTTATTGCGCGTGTGCAAGATTAGTTCGTAATCGGAAATACATGAGACTGAACGGCCGATCACGCCGAAATTTGGCCCATTCTGATCGCTGCCCGATCGACCGGTGCATCGTTATTTTAATCCAGTGCTTTTCAATCTTTTTGCATACAAAGGTTGAGTAAGTGTACTCATACTGCACACAATAACACATTATCAAATACTGAGAAATTTCACACACAAGCATAATCCCAAACAGCTGTCCATATAAACAAGATTGAACAAATAATCTTATGTGGATTTAGAAATAATTGGACAATTAAGTGAAATTTCAATAACATGACAAATACCACTGCTATGTGCCACAAAAAAATACATCTAATGAAATAAATTTAAAATTGAACAAACTGGGATTTTATGGGCAACTAAGAATAACCGAAGGCTGAGATTTGTAATTACGATTTGTAAACAAGACAGTGTTATGGAACATAACTTGTGTTGTTCAGCTACTAAGCCCAACACTCATGATCATCTTGAGCAACAGTGACGGCAAACCCCTGAGCTGACAGTGTGAATGTTACAGTTATAATACTGTCACACAATTGCGGATAGTTGTGGCTTTAAATTAAGATGACACAGGAAAAGTCTCTGCATGTGCTAACTCATTCGTGATAGCACTGTGCCAAACTAGCACATGCCAGTCCTTTACCAAAATCAGACTGTGCGCAACTGGGCAAAAATATTAGCAGTACCAAATGTGAACAATTTTAGTAACCCACGTTTAAATTGATGTTTAGAAATTGATTTTTTTTTTTAACTCTCACAACGATATTAAAATCACCATCCTGAAGAATTGCTATTTGTAACAGAATCAATTTCCACCACCCATCTCTATTGTGTTCAAAAGACCAAGCATTTCCTACAGCTGCCGTTTCCTTCCTTTGCTGCCACACAGTGCTGTTGCTTTATTTTGGGTGCAATTTGTCTGAAAATGAAACCATGTGCAGAGTCTCATCCATATAATGTTACAGTGAGAAGTTATAAGATTAAAATACTTTTTGAGCTAACACATTCACAAGCTCAAATGTTATCTGCTTTCACTGTTACCCTTGCTGCCACTGTATAATACTGCTTCAATTTTCAGAGCGATTAGTCTCATAATTGAACCAGATCCATTCCAGCTTCCCCTCACTACCCCACAATGCCTCTGCAAAGTTTGAAAAAGATCCAAACAGTAATTGAGCCAAAATAGCACCATAATAGCACATACCTTATAAACCTAATACCAATATTTAAATATTCAGGTTGTGTTTGGTTAAAATAAGCAGATACATATGATCTATAATGAATGAATTTCACTTCTACGAATAATATTAAGAATTTTCCCAGGGATTAATTAAGTACATCCTATACATCCCTCCATATGTCATGAAGCATTACATTTAATACACGAGCGCGGGCAGACGGACTCATTCACTCTCACACTCTCTCTCTCTCTCTCTCTCTCACTCACACACACACACACACACACACACACACAATATTTACGAAATCCCAGCAACCCAACAGTGGTGCCCACATCCGTCAAAATAAGATGGCGGAGACGTAAAATTAAACATTGGTTAGTTGACTTTTGGCACGTATAAATCATTAGTGCATACTCATTTTAGACAGATTTGATACAATAGTTAACTCGTTCAAAATACATTTAATCGCTGTTAGCACTGCACACGAAAGGAAAGACCCCAAAAAAGTCTATCGCGATGGAATGAATTGAACAAAGCTAAAACAGCAGATTCACGGGGATCCATGTTTTACCATCTGACTGATTGCTACGTGGGTGTATGAATTTTTTTTTTTTTTCTGGCTGCCTGTTATTGACTAACATACTTCCCATAACTACATATATAATGATTCAACTGGCATCCTACAAAAATAAACTGAAACCTATGATTCACAGCTGTTAAAACAAAATATTAAAACTCAGTTTCAGCAGTCCGTCAGCATATGCGGTGCAGCTCTCTGTAGAGTAGTAGTGTTCCGGGCAATTCAGTTTCCCTATGTTTCCCCTGTCGCGCGCTGATTTGTACACGGTTTCGCTGTTGTTCTTTTTTTACGAAGCTCTTGAGGTAAACAAGCCATATATTTTAAAACATCACATGCCTTTTCGATGTTTTTTGTTTTTACAGATAATAAATGGAAGTATTTAATTCGCTGGTTAGAGATTGATTGATTTCTTGATGAAACCGGTATAGTATAAGACTATATTATGCGTGACGATCTACTGTATTCACATGTAATAATGTACCTGAGTGATTTTCATACATTTCACATACCTCTTTGCTTTAATATTAGGGGAAACATTATTTCCTGATAGACAGGGGAAATATAGGGAAACCGAATTGCCCGAAACAGCGGCATCTCTTACTTAGGCTTAGGCTCAAACACAGAACAAAACTCAAGGCCGCTAATAAAAATTACCCAAGGATCGTGCTTATTCCTATCTAATGTACTGGCCTATAAACTTCCCCCATATGAAAATTACAATTCTAGTTCTGGGTTGGGAATAATTAATTAAACAGTAAGGTCGCTGCTCAATAAAGTGCAGTCGAGGTGGAGTACCACAAAGCTACCGCCATTAGCAAGCCATAAAGATCGACTCTAAAAATGTCGCATCAGGGGGGAAAAAACGTTACTTCATACAATTCGCTCAATATGTGAATAACCGGGCCGAGGAGCTTTTAATATTATACAGTATGTAGAATTGCCTGCACGTAGTTAGCAAACATTCAATTAAGTATCAAGCTAGCGGAACATTTCAGCTGATGTTATTTTCCTACCCATAACACTTTCCTTTAGGTAAATATAAGCTTTTAGGTTAAACAGTTTTATTAATAACTTTTAACACTAACCGTAGTAGTCTTTTTAAATCAAATAAATTTCCCCTTACCTTACCCTGTTCGTTTTAGTCTACACCGGGCGTTGGCAACTTCAAACTCGGGGTTTCCCCAACAGAATTACAGGGGCACGTACTGCGTAACTTAACGAAGACGTTTAAACTGTCAAATAAAATTTGGTTATGGGTTAAGATGATTTATGGCGTTGTTGGTATCTCTATGAATTTGTGTGTTGATTTTGATTTTTAAATATTTGACTGCAATAAAATACGAATATCTGCGTTGAGAAACCATTGGAATAGTTATAGTGGAATAGAAAATAGGCTACTGTAGACATAGCCTACCATTTAAGATTTGACTTGCATTTAGTTTTTGAACGCCAAATAATTTTGAATAATTCAGGATCTAATTCGGTGTAATTTCTGTTGTACAAAGAAGTCTGAACTAGACAGAAATTACCATGCGAGATAAACTGAGAAATCGACCTAATACACAGATATTCCTTGCAGATATTTATTTGACAGTTTTGGCTCTGCCCCTAAAACATCAGGGTAAGAGATGGCTTTTTACGGAGCCATTTTTGACATGACATTTTACTTGACTTTAGATAACACCAAGACAGAGACCATTCATGTGTGGCTGAACACAAATATCGCCTGCAGTGAAAATAAAAAAATACCCTTACTCCCAACTACTAGAGCCTATGTCTTACAATTTTATTTCGGTGTCAATTAAGGTGTTTTTTCTTTACCTTCTTTAAACTCGAACATCAGATTGTTCATTTTCCATAATAAGGTCATAATAGGGATGACTTTAAGATCAGTTCAGGTAATACAATGAACAAGTGTTAATAACATACTTGATAAAAGCCAAAATAAACAAGTGTGTTATTTCATTTAAAGCAGTGATTGTTAACTGGTGTATACTGGAAGGCCGACTGGAATCGTGTGCAATCAAACCCAGTTTCACTAAACCACGCCCCCATGTCTGTGACGAAATCTTAGGTGCGATCTAGCTATTGTTTTTTCAGAATTGTCAAACCGGCAACAGTTTCTCTGGGACTATTTGTTCATTTTTTAATTTTACGTTTTAATGATTGTTTCATAAGTAATGTCTGCAGCCTGGACTTGACTCTGGAGAGTCAGCATTTTGACCTGTAAGTCCTATTGTCAGGCCCGAGGAGAGGGGGGTGCAGCCGTTACATCGTTCCGGGGCCTATGAAACTCAAGGGGGCCCATGAAGCCCAAAACGTCCCATCATTTTTATTATACAGTGATCCCCAGCTATACTGTGGTTCAGCTATTGCGCCCCCACTGTATCGTGGATTTTTCTGTGGAACATATGTAATTTTCTATCGCGGAAATCTGCGGTTTTATACTGTTCGTTTTTTTATGGGTTTTTGACAAAAATTTATGTTGAAATAAGCATTTTTCTATGCTAAACTATTAATAACACCTGTTCAATTTCTCATTAATGCAATTATCTAATCAACCAATCACATGGCAGTTGCTTCAATGCATTTAGGGGTGTGGTCCTGGTCAAG